CCCCGGTTCGATTCCTCCGTCCCTCTCAGAGAGCCTGGCAAGCTACCGAGAATATTCCACCCGCACGGCAGAGCCTGGCAAGCTCCCCGTGGCGTATTCGATAGGCCAAAAACTGTAACAGCAAGTCTCACAATGGAGACGTTCCTGGTGCCCACTCGAACAAATCGATGAACAATTTGACAGTGCTACAGTGCTTTTTGGGTCACACCTGGGGATGCTCCGGTTTGGCTCTACATTCGGGAATTACTCGTGGCGGTGCTCGAGGGACCCTATGAGATGCCGGGCATGGAACCTGGTTTGGCCGCATACCAGGAATGTCTCCCGGGGATATCTATACTGCTTTTCTCTTTCCCGCTAGTGTATATATCAAACAATTAAGTCAGACAATCAAACAATTAGATGTGCTTTTTTTTTTTTTTTTTTTTGCTTTTTGGGTCACACCCGGCAATAATGCACAGGGGTTCCTCCTGGCTCTGCGCTCAGGAATCACCCCTGGCGGTGCTCAGGGGACCCTATGGGATGCTGGGAATCGAATCTGGGTTGGCCGCGTGCAAGGCAAACGCCCTACCCGCTCTGCTATCGCTCCAGCCCCTAGATGTGCTTCTTATCAATACTTGGATAAACAGTACTAGATAAAGATCACGAACTTAGTTCTCTGGGCTCTGAGAGCAAAGCAAAACTTTTACCACTTTTACCGTAAATCCCAGAGTAAGTCCTCAGGCCAGTTCAGTTTATCCTATCCCTGGGGGGGCGGGGGAGATCCTGTCTCTTAAGTCATAGCAGCTTGCATCAAGACCATGCATTTATGCTTTCTAGACTGTTCCATTTCAATGCCAGGGTAGCTTCACCACTCACCGTGGGTCCGTTCCTGGTTCCACCCCCGGTTCTACCATGGGGGCCTCCCTTTTGGGATGTTAGTAACTGCAATAACCAAAACCTGACTCAAGTAATTATTTTTTTTTCTTTTTGGGTCACACCCAGCAATGCATAGGGGTTACTCCTGGCTCTGCACTCAAGAATTACTCTGAGCAGTGCTTGGGGGACCATATGGGATGCTGGGAATCGAACCCGGGTCGGCCGCGTGCAAGGCAAACGCCCTCCCTGCTGTGCTATCGCTCCAGCCCCCACAGTCCCTCTTTATTTTTATTTATTTATTTACTTTTGCTTTTTGGGTAACACCCGGCGATGCTCAGGGCTTACTCCTGGCTCTGAGCTCAGGAATTACTCCTAGCGGTCTTCAGGGGACCATATGGGATGCTGGGAATCGAACCCAGGTTGACGGCATGCAAAGCAAACGCCTTACCCACTGTACTATCGCTCCAGTCCCTCCTGAGTCAAGTAATTATGAGTTTCTTGTATTAGTGTGTTTCGGTGTGTGAACCAGACCTTGGAAAGTCTATCCTGTCTCTGTGCGTCTCAGTCGATGGCAGAGCTCTGGCTTGTGGCCATTTAACATTTGGAGGTTCCACTGAGATCTCTGGCACCTAACAACTGGAGAAGCAGAATGGGACCCTCATTCTGCATTTCAGTTTCCTCACAAAGCTTCAGAGACGTCACAGTTACCAGCGCTTGTGGTGCTCTCCCTGGCCAAATGCCCCAAATTCCAGCTTTAACACATTTCTCTTAGGCAGACAGGAGCTTGGAATCTGTTTTACTGCCGCTTATCAGATTGTGTCTGTAAAACTCAAACAAAGGGGGACCGGAGAGGAAGAGAGTACAGGGGTTCGCGTCCTGATGCAGCTGACGCTGGTTTGATCCCTGGCACCCTCTGGTCTCCTGAGCACTGCTGGGAGTCACCCTTGAGCACAGAGCCAGGAGGAGCATCCCTGGATTTTCCCAATACCCCCATGCTCCCCAAACAAACAAACCAACAAAACTCACACCCAGAAGGGGCCAGAGCAATAGTCCAGCGGGGAGGGCATTGGTCTTACACGCGGCCCTACCCAGGTTCGATCCCCGGCATCCCACAGGGTCCCCTGAGCCCACAAGGAATAATTCCTGAGTGCAGAGCCAGGAAGAGCCCCTGACATCACCGGGTGTGGCCAAACCAAACCAAACCAAACCAAACACCACCACCCCCCAGGAAAAAAAAACTCATATCCTGAGAACTGAGTTATATTATCATAAAATTCAGAAGGCAGGCTCTGGAGAGAGAGGACAGTGGGCAGATACTTGCCTTTCATGCGGCTGACCTGGGTTCGATCCCTGGCACTCTATAGGGTTCCCCAAGCACCACCAGAGTGATTCCTGAATGCAGAGCCAGGAGTAACCCCTGAGCTCTGCTGGGTGTGGCCCAAAAACAATTTAAAAAAATCAGGAAGCATAGGAATGTTTCCAAAATTCTGGAGGGGGGGTATTGAAGCGTAGTAGGGTGTTTGTTTTGTACGTGGCTGAAAGGGATCAATCCCCGGCATCCTATAGGGTCCCCTGAGCACCACCAAGAGTAATTCCTGAGTGCAGAGCCAGGAGTAACCCCTATGCATTGTTGAGCATTGGTGGGTGTGACTGAATCCCCTCTCCCATAGGAGAAGGACAAATATTGAATATTCTCACTTATTTATTTGGGCTGGAGTGATAGCACAGTGGGTAGGGCGTTCGCCTTACAAGCGGCCAACATGGCCGACCCGAGTTCGATTCCTCCGCCCCTCTCGGAGAGCCCGGCAAGCTACCGAGAGTATTCGATATGCCAGACACAGTAACAACAAAGTCTCCCATGGAGACGTTACTGGGCCCGCTGGAGCAAATCGATGGTCAACGGGAGGGCCTTTATTTATAGGGCCTTTTATTTATTATGGTTCATAGAGTAACATGGGCTGGAGCGATAGCACAGCGGGGAGGGCGTTTGCCTTGCACGCGGCCGACCCGGGTTCGATTCCTCCATCCCTCTTGGAGAGCCCAGCAAGCTACCAAGAGTAACCTGCCCACGTGGCAGAGCCTGGCAAGCTCCCCGTGGCGTCCGTATTGATATGCCAAAAACAGTTACAACAAGTCTCACAATGGAGATGGTGACTGGTGTCTGCTTGAGCAAATCGATGAACAATGGGTGGACAGTGCTACACCCATTCTCTGCCTTAGATGGTGGAGATGAATATCCAAAATATTCATAAAAATATTCATAAAAAGGGGGCCGGAGTGATAGCACAGCGAGTAGGGTGTTTGCCTTGCACGCGGCCGACCCAGGTTCGATTCCCAGCATCCCGTATGGTCCCCTGAGCACCTCCAGGAGTCATTCCTGAATGCATGAGCCAGGAGTAACCTCTGTGCATCGCTGGGTGTGACCCAAAAAGCAAATAAATAAATACAGAATTCGGGAGGGAGCAAAGCAAAATAAATAAATTAAAAAATATATATATATATCTGTTTTGCTGGAGCGATAGCACAGCAGTAGGGCATTTGCCTTGCACGCAGCCAACATGGCTGACCCGAGTTCGATTCCTCGCCCCTCTCGGAGAGCCTGGCAAGCTACCGAGAGTATTCGATATGCCAGACACAGTAACAACAAAGTCTCCAATGGAGACGTTACTGGGCCCGCTCGAGCAAATCGACGATCAACGGGAGGGCCTTTACCTTTACTTTACTTTATCTGTTTTGCTTTGTTGGGAATGGCTACACCCAATTGTGGTCGTCTTACTTCTAGCTCTGTGCTCAGGGGTTACTCCGGATGGTCTTGAGGTATCATGTGGGGTGCTGGAATTGTGTCTGCTGTGTGCAAGGCAAGTGCTCTATCCACTGTACTCTCTCTCCAGCTCCTGTATAATATATCTTTGTTAAAGAAAAAAGAATTCCAACTAAATGCACATAGATAAGTCAACATTTACCAAAGAAACAAATAAATATATTTTCAATTAAAAAATATATATCTATATTGACTCAATTTGCAGATCAGCCTCTATTTTGGTAAATTTCTGCCTATATAATTCTTTTGTTTTGGGGGGGGTGGGGTTGTTTCGGAGGATCACACCTCATGGAACACTGAGGCTTCTCTGGGCCTTAATACGTGGAGGTCACTTCTGGTGGTACTGGTGCCAGGCTGTGCCAAGGATTGAATTCATGTCGCTTTCATGCAAAGCCTGTGCACCAGCCCTTTCGGTGCTCTCCCTGGTGCCCCAGATTATTAATTTTGCCAGGTTTCAATTAATGCAGCTGTATTTGAAAGCCCTCTAGCGCTTGCTGAAACTGGCGGCTGGAGAACTCGGACCAGTGAGTAAGGTACTTGCCTTGTGCACGGCCAACCTAGTTCTACCCCCTGCATCCCATATAGTTCCCCAAACCCTGCCAGGAATGATCACTGAGCACAGCGCCAGGAGCCAGCTCTGGACACAGCCTGCTGTGTTCTCCTCCCTCCGAAATGAAATATAAAAAAAGAGAATCCAGGTGGGGAAGTTGGTGCCTGTTCAGCGGAGGAGGCAGTGAGGAGGCAGGAGAGAAAGTGGGGGCATGCGGGGTGTTCAGAATTCAGCAGATGGGACTGGAGCAATAGCACAGCAGGTAGGGCGTTTGCCTTTCATGTGGCTGATCTGGGTTCGATTCCCAACATCCCATATGGTCCTCCGAGCACTGCCAGGAGTAATTTCTGAGTGCATGAGCCAGGAGTAACCCCTGTGCATTGTTGGGTGTGACCCAAAACGCAAAAAAAAAAGAGAATTCAGGAGAGGGGCTAGAGCAATAGCACAGCAGACAGGGCATCTGTCTTGCACGCGGCTGACCCGGGTTCGATTCCCAGCATCCCACGCGATCCCCGAGCACCGCCAGGAGTAATTCCTGAGTGCATGAGCCAGGAGTAACCCCTGTGCATTGCTGGGTGTGACCCAAAAAGCAAATGAATAAGAATTCGGGAGAATTCAGGTGAGGGCAAGCTGAGTGCAGGCAGGGCGGGCGACCCTCAGACCCGCTGGCGCAAGCCGGCTGGGGTCTGGGCTTCAGTAGGTGGGAGAAGCATAAGGGGGCGGTGGCTGAGCCGTGCCCCTCTCCAAAGACCCCCACACTCTGGGACACTCTGGTGAAGTAGAAAGCAAGCGTTTATTGAGGGGGCTTGTGCTCAGTTGGGGCAGCCAAAGACCATCAGGCTGTTGGTGAAGGCGACCAGGTCCCCGCAGAGCTTCTCGTTCGCCTCGTCCTGGCAGTCGTCCTCCTTGGGCCACAGCTCGACCCACGTGTCCTTCCCGATGATGTACTTGATGCTGTGGGTGGGAAGCGGAGCAGGTCAGGGGGAGGAATCGGGAGAGGCAGACCAGGAGAGCAGGGGCCGGGGGGCGTGGTCTACGACGAGGAGGGCGTGTCTTAGGCAGAGGGGCGGGGCATGCGTGAAGGCGGGGCATGGGAAGTGGGCGGGGCGTGTGGGCCAGGGGGCGGGCGTTTGCGATAGAGGACGTGGCCGATACAAAGGTGAGGCATCTGAGGAGGTGTGGCAATGAGAAGGGGAAGGCACAGGAGGAGGGATGGGGGCATAAGAGGAGGGTGACGGGGCTGGAGCGATAGCACAGCGGGCGGGGCGTTGGCCTTGCACGCGGCCGACCCGGGTTCGATTCCCAGCATCCCATAGGGTCCCCCGAGCACCGCCAGGAGTAACTCCTGAGTGCAGTAACCCCTGTGCTTCGCCGAGTGTGACCCCAAAAAAAAAGCAAATAAAAAAGAGGAGGGTGCGGCATGTGGGGAGGGTAGAACATATAAGAGAAAGAGAGGGGCGGAGCCTGTAGGAAGGGGGCGGGGCACAAGCAAGGGGCGTGGTGTGTGGGTGGGGCATAGGTGAAGGGGCGGGGCATAGAGGAGGGGCGGGGCTCACGAGGTGCGTTGTATGAAAGGGTAGGAGCCCAACTAAGGTCAGTGAGAAAGGGGCGTGGCCCGCGAGGGGCGTGGCCCGCGAAGCCGGAGGGGGCGTGTGATAAGGCCCGGACCTATGAGCGGGCGTGTAACGCAAGAAGGGGCGGGGCCTGCGAGGGCCGGGGAGGCCCCATTGGCTGCAGTCCCGGACTAGGAGTCAGTGAAAGGGGCGTGGCACGCGAGGGGCGTGGCACGAGAGGGGCGTGGCCCGTGAGCAGAAGCCGGAGGGGGCGTGTGATAAGGCCCGGACCTATGAGCGGGTGTGTAACGCGAGAAGGGCGGGGCCTGCGAGGGCCGGGGAGGCCCCATTGGCTGCAGTTCCGGAGCGTATGCTAAGGCCCGGCCCTATGAGCGGGTGTGTAACGGGAGAAGGGGCGGGGACTGCGAGGGCCAGGGGAGGCCCCATTGGCTGCAGTCCCGGACTAGGAGTCAGTGAGAAAGGGGCGTGGCATGCGAGGGGCGTGGCACGAGAGGGGCGTGGCCTGTGAAGCCGGAGGGGGCGTGTGATAAGGCCAGGGCCTATGAGCGGGTGTGTAACACGAGAGGGGGCGGGGCCTGCGAGGGCCGGGGATGCCCCATTGGCTGCAGTCCCGGAGCGGTACTCACTTGGCCTTCCCGCCCCACAGGTCGGAGGAGACGCCCCAGACCAGGTAGTCGCTGCCCTTCTCCAGCCTCAGGGCATCCTGGCACTTGACGTGGCTGATGAACTTGCGCTGTTGTCCCTCCTGCACCTCATCAGAGCCTGGAAGGGAGGGGGAGGAAACAGGCGATGGGCTGCGGGGGTGGGGTGGGGTGGGGGGAGGCCGGGAGGGGCGAGTAGGCGGGGAGGAGGCGGGGCAGCCCCGCCCCGGGCCTCACCGGACTTGATGATCTGCTTAATGACCATGACGTAATCGATGAAGTCGGACGTTTTCTCCACCGACTGCACCGTGACCTTGTACACTGGAGCGGGGAGAGTTGGGGGCGGTCACCGACCGGGAGGGGGGTCGGTGGGGAGGAGGCACCGTCCCCCGTTCCTGCCCCCGGCCCACGCACGTCCAGGCAGAACCTCAGCTCTGCTCCCCACCCAGGGACACACACACCATCGCCACCCCCCCCCCAGACATGCTGTCACCCGCGGCCCCCAGCCCACTTGCAGTCACAAGCAGTCGCGTCACTTCCTCTGCACCCCACCCCCCCCCCCGACCACCGCGCCCGCGCCCCTCCAGCCTGCTCACCGTAGTCCACGCCGGGCTGGCAGGCCTTGTCCAGCCGGTCCTCGTGGGTGACCTGGCCCACCTCGTGGTGCATGAAGCAAGACTCTGCGGGGACAAGGGGGGGGGGGCTCGGTGGCTTGGCTCTTCCGGCGCATGCGCACGCCGCCCCACTCCGCCACACACACCCCCCCCACCCCCAGGCGTGCACGCTGCGTGGGCTTGGGGGACCCTGGGGTCAGCTCCGGGCAACCCACCCTCAGCGCAGCGGCAAATGTCGTTGTGGCAGAGCTTGTTCAGCAGGCCATCTTCCTTGTCCGGGTGGTAGAACTGAATGCAGCTTTCGTCTGGGGGGCGGGGGGTTTGGAGGGGGTGTCAGTAGTGAGAGAGCTGGGGCCAGCCCCCCAGATACCGTACTTGGCTGGGGTATAACTCAGGTTTCCAATTCCAGATCCTTTAGACCTGAAGACACAAGTGTGCCCCCCCCACCACTACCATACACACACACACACACACACACACACACACACACACACACACACACTGTGGGATGCCCGGACCCCAAGCACTCAGATCCCTGGGACCCCCTCCCATCCCCAAATCTTTTTTTTCTTTGCCTTTTATTTATTTATTTATTTATTTTGCCTTTTTGGGTCACACCCGGCAATGCACAGGGGTTCCTCCTGGCTCTGCACTCAGGAATCACCCCTGGCGGTGCTCAGGGGACCATATGGGATGCTGGGAATCGAACCGGGGTCGGTCACGTGCAAGGCAAACGCCCTACCCGCTGTGCTATCTCTCCAGCCCCTTTCTTTGCTTTTTTGGGTCACGCCTGGCGATGCTCAGGGGTTACTCCTGGCTCTGTACTCCACTCAGGAATTAACTCCTGGCGGTGCTCGGGGAACCATATGGGATGCCGGGGATCGAACCCAGGTCGGTAGCATGCAAGGCAAATGCCCTGCCTGCTGTGCTATTGCTCCGCTACCCCCCATAACCCTTTCCATTGACCTTCAGACCACCCTCAGGTTCCTGGACTTCCCAGGTACCCTCCCCCAACCAGGCTCCGTGCTCCCTTCCCCTCCCACCGTCCCCCCTCTCCCCCTCCCTCCCACCAGAGCGGCTGCTCACCCAGGTTGTAATAGGAGTAAACCTTGACCGCCCCTGGCTGGATGAGCCCCACGTTGAAGTACTGGTGGACTCGGAAGGTCAGACACTCCTCCTGAGAGTTGGAGATCTGCCGAGGGCACAGGGGACGGGGACGGGTAAGTGGAGGCAGCAGGAGGCGTGTGGGTGAACTAAACCATCCCGTGGCTCTGGTCTCACCAACTCGTTCTACCTTTCCTGCGCCACCATCCTGGTCTCTCTCTTTCCTGGGGCTCTGGACTGGCCAAGCCAGGACACAAAGGTCCCCCGGGGGAAGCCAAAAGCCAGCCAGAAAAGGGGCAAGGTGGTATTTGATGTTGTGGTACTGGTTTTTTAATTCGGAGACCGTGCTTGGGGCTGCCTCCTGGCTCTGTGCTCAGGGATCACGCCTGGCAAGGCTCAGGGGACCCACTGCGGTGGCGGGGATCGAACCGGCATCAGCCACGTGCCCGGCTAAACCCCGTCCCCACTGTTCTCTGTCTCTGGCAGTGACGGTGAAGGTTGGGATGGGGCCTTACCGAGTCCAGGTAGATGATGAGTGTGTTTCTGCTGGAGAACGCCTTGTTCAGCTCGTACTTAGAGATGTAGCGATCCACGCCCGTGCTCAGCTAGGGAGAAGATGGAAGATGGGGCTTGTGAAAAATTCTGCCTCCGGGGCTGGAGCGATAGCACAGGGCAGGGGGTGCGGGGGAAGGACTTTTTGCCATGCACGCAGCTGACCCTAGGTTCGATCCCCGGCATCCCATAGAAACCCCTGAACCCTGCCAGGAGTGATTCCTGGGTGCAGAATCAGGAGTCACTCCTGAGCATCGCTGGGTGTGACCAAAAAAGCACCCCCCCCGCAAAAAAAAAAAAGAAAGAAAAAAGATTCTGCCTCCATCCACTTTGCAACCTGTGCCCAGCTCCTGCCGTCCACGCCCTGCATCCCAGCCCTGTCCTACCTGGTTCAGGTCATCAACATCTGGAGAGAAGCCGGTCATCATGGATATGTCCAAGATAGACATGGTTGCATCCGTTTGTCCCAGGTACCTGGATGGAACAAGAAGAAAAGTGATGGGTCTCATGGGAAGGAGAGGTTCTGGGATAAGGGGGGAGTTCTGGGGTGTGTGAGGGGGTCTAGGATCCATAGAACAGCTGAGAGCAAGCTTTGATTTTAAGGCACCCTCTGTCAAGGGCTCAGACTCTGAAGTTCAATGTCGGACTTCCTATCTCACTATTGTCTGTTTTTCTTTTTTTTTTATTATTATTTTTTGGGGGTCACACCCGTGTTACTCCTGGCTCATGCACTCAGGAATTACTCCTGGCGGTACTAGAGGAACCATACGGGATGCTGGGAATCGAACTCGGGTCAGCCGCATGCAAGCCAAACGCCCTACCCGCTGTGCTATAACTTCAGCCCCCCTCATCTCACTCTTTTCTGCAGGGGGTTTGAGCCACATCGAGCAGTGCTCAGGGCCTCTGTGCTCAGGGTGCCCGGGGTCACTAGATGGTTCGGTGGCTTGAACCTGGCTCAGCCGCGTGCAAGGAAAGCGTCCTTAGCCCCTGTACTATTGCTCCGGCCTCACTCCTAGGGGACATGGAATGAGACTTCGTCATTTGTTTTAGATATTTGTCTTTTGGGGGGCTGGAGTGATAGCACAGTCGGTAGGTAGGACATTTGCTTTACTCATGACTGACACGGCCAACCTGAGTTCGATTCCTCTGCCCCTCTCGGAGAGCCCGGCAAGCTACCGAGAGTATCTCGCCCGCGTGGCAAAGCCTGGCAAGCTCCCCGTGACGTATCCGATATGCCAAACACAGTAACAACAAGTCTCACAATGGAGACGTTACTGGGTCCGCTCAAGCAAATTGATGAACAACGGGAGGACAGTGCAGACAGTGGGGTCAGACCCAGCAATGGTCAGGAATACTTCCTGGCTCTTCACTCAGGAACTACTCCTGGCAATGCTCAGGGGACCCTCTGGGGATGCCGGGGATCGAACCCAGGTGGGCTGTGTGCAAGGCAAACGCCCTCCCCACTGTGCTGTCACTCTGGTCCCATGGAAAAGAGACTTCATTTTCATTTCTTTGGTAATGGGGCCACACCTGGCTGTGCCCAGGGCTGACTCCTGGCTCTGGGCTCATGGATCACCCCGGGTGGTGCTCGGAGGACTCTATGGGCTCCTGAAGACCAACCCTGCAAGGCAAGCACCCTTGCCCCTAATCTTTCTCTTTAGCCTTTAATGATTTTGTTTTTGTTTTTGTTTTTTGGTCACACCTGGCAATGCACAGGGGTTACTCCTGGTTCTGCACTCAGGAATCACCCCTTGCGGTGTTCAGGGGGACCATATGGGATGCTGGGAATTGAACCCGGGTTGGCCGCGTGCAAGGCAAATGCCCTACCCGCTGTGCTATTGCTCCAGCCCCTTTAATGATTTTTAAAAATTTTTTTTCCTTTTTGGGTCACACCTGGCGATGCACATGGGGTTACTCCTCGCTCTGCACTCAGGAGTTACTCCTGGTGGTGCTCAGGGGACCATATGGGATGCTGGGAGTCGAACCCGGGTCAGCCGCGTGCAAGGCAAATGCCCTACCCACTGTGCTATCTCTCCAGCCCCCATAATGATTTTTTTTTCAGGCGTAATGATTTTTTTAAAAATCATAGCTGACAATATTATTGAAGCTGTTGTTTGGTTTTGGGGTCACAGTACTCAGGACTGACTCCTGGCTCTGTGCTCCTCAGGGATCACGCCTGACGGGCTCGGGCTCAGCCCTTCTCACTCACCGGGCGCAGATGTTGAGGGACATACTTTTCAAAGCATCCTGGGGTTTCTTGACTAGAAACAGGAGAGAAGAAAGGAAGAGAGATTCCAGGGTCACTCCCACTTGAGAGAGAGGCAGAGGAGACCGTGGGGTGGGGGGTACTCGGGAAGAGGATCAGAGCATCAGGAAAGCCACACCCGGGGGTGCTCAGGGCTCTGCGCTCAGGGGTCACTCCTTGGTAGGGTTCAGGGGACCCTGTGAGATGTTGGGGATCGAACCCAAGCAAGTTGGCTGCGTGCGAGGCCAGCAGCCTCCCCCCTGGACTATTGCTCTGGTACCAAAAGAGTTTCTCTTACGATCAGCAGGGGCTGGTCCGATGGCAACCCTGAGGTTGAAATTCTTACAGGCGTCCTTGTTCTGGATCTTGGCGTGGTACATCGTGACCACCTGGCAAGGGGGCAGGGAAGAAGAGGAATTGTACATTTGGCTTAGGTTTTTGTTTGATGCTTTTTAATTTAATTTAATTTTTTTTTTTTGCTTTTTGGGTCACACCCGGCGATGCTCAGGGGTTACTCCTGGCTCATGCACTCAGGAATCGCTCCTGGCAGTGCTCGGGGGATCCTATGGGATGCTGGGAATCGAACCTGTGTCGGCCATGTTGGCTGCGTGCAAGGCAAACGCCCTACCCGCTGTGCTATCGCTCCAGCCCCTCTAATTTTATTTTTAATTTTATTTATTTATTTATTTATTTTGCTTTTTGGGTCACACCCAGTGATGCTCAGGGGTTACTCCTGGCTCAGGCACTCAGGAATTACTCCTGGCGGTGCTCAGGGGACCCTATGGGATGCTGGGAATCGAACCCGGGTCGGTCGCGTGCAAGGCAAACGCCCTTCCTGCCGTAACAGCACTCCAGCCCCATGGCACCTTACTATTTAATGGGGGAAAAAAATGAACTGAAAAGATAAGAAATGCACTTGACTTTGGGTGCAGAAACTCCCTCAGGGCCCAGAGCAGGGGGCCACACTGGAGTGACCGCAGCTTCTTACCGACAAGGTCCCTTCACCTTTGCCCTTGGCGGTGACGGTAAAATCTTCATTTTTCTTGGTCTGCAGGGGGTGGGCAGAGAGAGAGGGGGGGGTGTTGAGAGCCCTGCCCCCCCAGGCCGCCTGCAGGAGGCACCAGTCCCACTCGAGACATCCCCCCCACCCCCCGCAAGCCCCCTGGGGGAGGGGGAGAGTGAGGAGGACCCAGTGTTCTTCCATCCGTCTGTCTGTCCGTCTCTTCCTACCTCCTCCGAGCGCAGGAAACTGGCAGATTCCCAGACGATGCGGTGGTTTATTGGGGCACTGCGGCTGGGCAGGATGATGGCCACGTCCAAGTCCAGGTCCTTGAAGTCAGACACCTGCTGCTGGTACTTGGCTAAGGCTTGGAACACCATGAAGGTGGCCTGTACCCCACCGGAAAGAGAAGAAGGCAGGTGTGAGGTGGGAGACTACGAAAGTGGGTTCGGATGTGTGGATGAGGGGAGCAAGGTTCAGGGTGGGGGTGCTATAAGGGTGAATCCTGGAAGCCATCAAGGAGGGTTAGGGTGAGACCCAAGGCCGGGGCCAGGGCGACAGGACGGCAGGGAGGGCGCTTGCCTTGCACGTGGCTTACCTGGGTTCAATCCCCAGCACCCCATAGGGACCCCCGAGTCCCTCCAGGAGTGATCCCTGAGTGCAGAGGCAGGAATCGGCCCTGAAAACTGCTGGGTGTGTGGCCCCAAATCAAAACAAAACAACCAAGAATCGGGGCTGGGGACAGGAGGGAAACTCTGAATGTTGGCGGTGGGAAATGTACATTGGTGAAGGGACGAGTGTTGGAATATTGTCTGACTGAAACCCAGTCAGGGCCAACTTTGGAACTGTACCCCACAGTGATACCATGTTTTTTTTTTTTGCTTTTTGGGTCACACCTGGCTCTGCACAGGGGTTGCTCCTGGCTTTGCACTCAGGAGTTACTCCTGGCAGTGCTCAGGGGACCATATGGGATGCTGGGAATCGAACCCAGGTCGGCCGCGTGCAAGGCCAACGCCCTACCCGCTGTGCTATCTCTCCAGCCCCAAGAATTTATTTTATTTATTTATTTATTTATTTTTGGCTTTTTGGGTCACACCTGGCGATATACAGGGGTTACTCCTGGCTTTGCACTCAGGAATCACTCCTGGCGGTGCTCAGGGGACCCTATGGGATGCTGGGAATCGAACCCGGGTTGGCCACGTGCAAGGCAAACGCCCTACCCACTGTGCTATCACTTCAGCCCCTAAAATAAATATTTTTTTTCTTTTTGGGTCACACCCAGCGATACACAGGGGTTCCTCCTGGCTCTGCACTCAGGAGTTACTCCTGGCGGTGCTCAGGGGACCCTATGGGATGCTGGGAATTGAACCCGGGTTGGCCACGTGCAAGGCAAACGCCCTACCCGCTGTGCTATCTCTCCAGCCCCAGTGATACAATTTTTTAAAAAATTAAAAGAAAATCTAGGGGGTTTTCCATGAGACTTTGTCTACAGAGCTGAGATTAGCACAGTCCAGGAGCTGGGGGTGGAGAGAGGGATCCCGAGACTGTGGGAGGGAGGGGATGAGGGGATGGGGGACCCAGGAACAATGGAGGAAGGCTGACATCCTAGTGGAGAGGGTGGTGTGAGAACGTGGTACCCATAGAACTTGTCATGAACAGTGAGGTCAGTCACGGTGCTACAAAAAAATAAATCAGTAGATGGGGCTGGAGCCATAGCACAGCAGGGAGGGCATTTGCCTTGCACGCAGCCGACCCGGGTTCAATTCCCAGCATCCCATATGGTCCCCCGATCACCGCCAGGAGAGACTCCTGAGTGCACGAACCAGGAGTAACTCCTGTGCATCACTGGGTGTGACCCAAAAAAAAGCAATAAAAAAATAAATTAATCAGTAGAGGTTAGAGAGATAGCACAGTGGGTAGGAGGCTGGCCTTGGTTTGATCCCCGGTACCCCATAGGGTCTCCTGAGCCCCACTGGGAATGATCCCTGAGCAAAACACCAGGAGTAGACTCTGAGCACTGCCAGGTGTGGCCCCCAGCCAATACTAAAAAAGCAAACAACCAAAAAAACCCACAAAAAATAAAACGTTAGCACAGGGCTAGAGCGATAGCACAGCGGTAGGGCGTTTGCCTTACACACAGCCAACCTGGCCAACCCGAGTTCGATTCCTCCGCCCCTCTCGGAGAACCCGGCAAGCTACCGAGAGTATTCGATATGCCAAACACAGTAACAAAATCTCCAATGGAGACGTTATTGGGCCCACTCGAGCAAATCGATGAACAACGGGAGGGCCTTTACCTTACCTTTAATAATTACAAAATAAAAGGGTTGCTGGGGGCCAAAAAAGGATAGTCCGGCGGGAAGGGCACTTGTTTGCGCATGGATGACCCATGGTCAATCCTCAGCACCCCACAGTGTACCCTGAGTCCTGCCAGGAATAAAAACCCCGGAGACTCAAATGAATCTCGGCAGAGAGCAGCACACCGCAGAGATGCCTCCCCACCCCGGGCCAGGCCGATTCCATCCGGGCACCTTGGAGGGGGCAGGTGTGTCCCTTCGCCTGCCCCAAATGAACCCCGCCAGCCACAAACCTCCAGAACCCAATCGCTGCCACGCTCACGGCCGACCTCCACAGGCTCACAGGCTCGCCCTGAACCCCCCACGCATGAGGATGAATCCGCTGAAAACCCCAGGGATGCAGGACGAGTGACTGAAAACTCCAGGCTTCATGGAGTCGGGTCTCCCCACCCTTCCAGGGTCCTGGCAGTCACACCCACGAACTGCATCTGGAGGCCATTCAAGCGCATTCACCGTCACGATCCAGAGACTCACAAATGAATCTCGAAAGAGAACAGCATGCCATGCCGCAGAGCTGCCTCCGGACCCCACATATTGAAAAATTTTAGAATTCCAGGAGTGCGAGGCTGCAAAAGCGGCCATGCGACATCTCGTATTGTTTATAACAACCAATACAAAATAAATTATTTTAGCATCTGCCTGTGGGGCAGGCTCGGGTGGTGGTGGAAAAACTCGAAATCATGGCGGTGGGATTGGTGTCGAAATATTGAATGTGATCAATTATTGTGAACAACTTTATGAAAATAAAATAAATTTAAAAAATATTTTTTTTTTGCTTTTTGGGTCACACCCGGCGATGCACAGGGGTTATTCCTGGCTCATTCCTGGCTCATGCACTCAGGAATGACTCCTGGTGGTGCTCAGGGGAGTTGGGTACACCACAGGGAGTTTGCCAGACTTCCCTTGGCGTATCCAATATGCCAAATACCAGTAACAATGATGGGTCTCATTCTCCTAACTCTGGAAGAGCCTTGGATATGGCATTTTTTAAAATCTCAGGGCTAGGACGAAGGAGACGTTACTGGGGCCTGCTCGAGGCAATCTACGAACAACAGGATGGTTGTGGTCATGACTGGTGCTCAGGGGACCATATGGGATGCTGGGAATCGAACCCAGGTCGGCTGCGTGCAAGGCAAACACCCTACCCGCTGTGCTATCACTCCAGCCCCCAAAATAATTTTTTTTTTTGAAAAAAGGAGTAACCCTTCCACAGCTTAGAAGCCGGCCTCACATGCTGGGGGGGAAAGGCAGCTCAGATAGAGAAGGGACCACCAAGAAAAGGGTGCTTGAAGGGTCTGCTTGGGAGGGGAGATGCAGGCTGAAAGTAGACTATAGACTTAACAAGATGGTCATTTAATACCTCTATGCAAACAACAACAACCAAAAGGAGAGCAAAAAGGAATGCTCTGCCACAGAGGCGGAGGGGACAGGGTGAGGGTGGGTGGTAGGAGGGACACTGGGACCATTGGTGGTGGAGAATGGGCACTGGTGGAGGGATGGGTCCTCGATCATTGTATGACTGAAACGCAAGCACGAACGTTTGTAAGTCTGTAACTGCATCTCACGGTGGTTCACTAATAAAATATTAAAAAAAAAAAAGAGTAACCCTGAACACAGCAGGCCTTACAAATAAATAAATATATAAAGGTGGGCTGCTTAGGGCTGGGGAGATGGCTCATAGTGCTTGAACACAGGCTTTGCATGCAGTGGCCAGCCTGGGTTCGAATCCAGCCACCAATGGGCGGTCACTGCACTCTGGGACTGTGGGTCTCAGGGCTGCGTGACCACTTGCCTGGGTGGAGCCGTAACCGCCCCCGTAGTATCTCTGCTCGTTCAGCCAACGAGCCACGGGGCCCACGGAGTCGAAGTCCTTAAGCTCCAACAGTGCCAGCAGCGCATAGGACGTGGCCTCCACGTTGTAGAGCTTCTGGCCAGGCTCCTCCCAGCGGTTCTTGTCTGCGGAGACAACCCCAGACCCACTCTCAGGGCACTGGCTGGCCGGGAGACAGCAGCGAGGAAGGACTTTGGGGGGCTCAGCTATCAGGCGACGTCCAAGTCTGGCCCCTCTTGCCCCATTCTCTTTCCCTGCACTGCCCTGACCCCTCTGTCTGGAACCAGCACCCTGTGGATTCAAGGGAGCTCCTGAATAGCCCGGATTCTTTTCCTATCTTTTTTTTTTCTTTTGGGGTCACACCTGGCGATGCACAGGAGTTACTCCTGGTTCATGCACTCAGGAATTACTCCTGGCGGTGCTCGGGGGACCCTATGGGATGCTGGGGATCGAACTCGGGTCGGCCACGTGCAAGGCAAACGTGTTACCCGCTCTGCTATCGCTCCAGCCCCGCCCGGATGATTTTCTCACCTCGGAGTCCTTAGATATATATATTGGTCTGGGGGCCACACCCGGCAGTGCTCAGGGGTTACTCCTGGCTCTGCACTCAGGGATCACTCCTGACAGTGCTCTGGGGACCTCATGGGCTGTCGGGGGGCCGAATCCTGGTCCCAGCGCCCTCCCCTCTGTGCTATGGCTCCGGTTAGTTTTTTTTTTGCTTTTTTGGGGGGAAGGGGTCACACCCGGCGATGCTCAGGGGTCACTCCTGGTTCTGCACTCAGGAATCACCCCTGACGGTGCTCAGGGGACCCTATGGGATGCTGGGAATCGAACCCGGGTTGGCAGCGTGCAAGGCACACGCCCTACCCGCTGTGCTATCGCTCCAGCCCCCACGCCCGGTTAGTTCTTACTCGTTCCCTGCACAATTCAGGTTACCCCAAAGTGAAGCAGTCGAGTCCCTTCCCTCTCAAAGCACCCTGTGCTTCTCCTGCCCCGACACCAGGGGGCGCTAGAGTAACACTAGTGGACAGAGGGCAGCCCCTGTTCTAAGTCATTCAAGCAATCCCTTAGAGCTGTTTGCTAAGACCCAGTCCCCCTCCAGGGACGGACTACAGCCCTTGCAACTAGGGGCGGGCCCTTTGCACGTCCTGGGCCCAACCCTCCGGACCCCACCCCCCACCCACGAGGCTGTGGAAGTGCCTTCCTGATTCTGGGGTTTTTTTGTTTTTTTTTTTTTTTTTTTAATGCTTTTTGGGTCACACCCGGCGTTGCACAAGGATTACTCCTGGCTCCTGCACTCAGGAATTACTCCTGGCGGTGCTCGGGGGACCATCTGGGATGCTGGGACTCGAACCCGGGTCGGCCGCGTGCAAGGCAACCACCCTACCCGCTGTGCTATCACTCCAGCCCTCTGGAAGAAGATTGATTGCAAACCTGATCCAGAGGCTCCGGGGTACTGTATGCGGTGCTGGGGGAATCAAACCTGGGTTGGCCTCATGGGAGGCGAGTGCCTCCCCCGCTGTACAATTCCTCCGCGCCCCCTCATGGACCTTCGTGTGTGGTTTTAAAGTGTCCCCTGTCCCAGACTGGCACAGTGCCCATGCATCCACTCCGGCTCGGGATGGCCACAGTCCCTCCCCAGATTCTCAACACCCACCAAGCCACCCCTCACCTGTGGCCGTGTTCAGAAATTTAGTGAGATACGGATCCTCCAATTTGCCCAGGAGAGACAAGGCGTAGCCAGAGATCGCTGTGGTGTATGGTCTCTTCAACTTCAGATAGTTGGCTTCCAGAAAATTCCCTGCCTTATTTATACTCTGTTCCAAACTCTAGGAGAGAGAGAGAGAGAACAGGAAATCCTCAGACTTCCGGGTTATCTACCAAGAACACCACCCCCAGGCATGGTACCAATGCGACTTCCCTGAAAATTTGGTGACGAAGAATTAGTCCCATTGGCACGTTTTTTAAAAAAATTTGCTTTTGGGTCACACCTGATGGTGCTCAGGGGATATCCCTGACTCTGTGCTCACACCTGGTGGTGCTCAGGGGATTCTATGGGATGCTGGGGATCAAACCCAGGTCAGCTGTGTGCAAGGCAAATGCCCTGCCCACTCTTTTTTTTTTTTTTTTTGCTTTTTGGATCACACCCGACGATGCACAGGGGTTACTCCTGGCTCTGCACTCAGGAGTTACTCCTGGCGGTGCTCGGGGGACCATATGGGATGCTGGGAATCGAACCCGGGTCGGCCGCGTGCAAGGCAAACACCCTACCCGCTGTGCTATCACTCCAGCCCCTTTTGTTTTGTAATCTTTACTTTTACTGAATCACCATGAGATGGAGCATTACAAAGCTGATTTGGTTTCTGGCCCATTTTCCCCGGCCTTGGATATTAGTTTCATCCTCTTTTTTTTTTATATATCCCCCAAATGAACGCAGTCACTCTATATCTGTCCCTCTCCTTCTGATTCATATCACTCAGCATGATACTCTCCACGTCCATCCACTTATAGGACCTGCCCATCCTTGAGTTAGCTCAATGCAGGCTAAAGAAAAACCCGGAAATTCTTATCCTTTTTTTTTTAAAGAAGTCAATTTATTTATTTATTTTCGGGAGGGGTCACACCCAGCAATGCTCAGGGGTTCCTCCTGGCTTTGCACTCAGGAATCACTCCTGGCGGTGCTCGGGGGACCATATGGGATGCCGGGGATCGAACCCGGGTCGGCCGCGTGCAAGGCAAATGCCCTACCCGCTGTGCTATCGCTCTGGCCCCTCTTCTTATTCTTTTTAAGTTTGCTTTGTTTTTGTTTTGGGTCACACCTGGTGATGCTCAGGGCTTACTCCTGGCTCTGCACTAAGGAATCACTGCCGGTGGTGCTCAGGGGACCCCCATGAGATGCCAGGGATCAAATCCTGGTTGGTTGCATGCAAAGCAAGCACCTTCCCTGCTGGATTATCTCCCTGGTCCCTGGAAGTACTTGTTTTTCTTTCTTTCTTTCTTTCTTTCTTTCTTTCTTTCTTTCTTTTTCTTTCTTTCTCTTTCTTTCTCTCTTTCTTTTTGCTTTTTGGGTCACACCTGGCAATGCACAGAGGTTATTCCTGGCTCTGCACTCAGGAATTACTCCTGGCGGTGCTTGGGGGACCCTATGGGACACTGGGAATCGAACCCGGGTCGGCCACATGCAAGGCCCTACCCGCTGTGCTATCTCTCCAGCCCCTGGAAATACTTCTTATCCAAGTATTAGCATCTCGGGCTTCTGTGAGAGTACAGTGGAGAAGGAGAGTGCCTAACATACAGCCAATCTAGTACTGCATACGCTGCCGAGAGCCCACCAGGAGTAACTGCTGAGCACAGAGCCAGGAGTCAGCCTGCACAGCTGGGTGTGTCCCAAAACCTCCCCCAAAATAATTTCAAATTTGAATACTTTAACACCTGGCTTACAAAATGTATGTTTCAAATAAAAACAAAATTTTTAGGGTGGGAGGAGTTGGATTGAGGACACTCCCTGCTGTTCAGGGAACCATATGCAATGATTTAAAGGCCAATTGAACTATCTCTCCTGTCCCAAGTAAGTTCTGAAAATTTAATAGCCAGTCTCCAAATTTAATGATTACTAAGTCCCTAAGTACTTCTTTTTTTTTGGGGGGGGGGGAGGTGCATACCTGGCTATGCTCAGGGATCACGGCAGGAATCGAACCCGAGTTGGCTGCATGCAGGGCAAATGCCCTCCTCACTGTACTATCTCTCTGACCTACTCTGAGCGCTTCTTTGAGGCCCTAATCAATGAGTCAAGGGGGTCAGAGAGACAGGTCAAAGGCCAGGGCCCTTGGTTGGATCCCAGCACCGTACAGCCTCCCACACTGCTGGAAGTGACTCTTGGACACCAAGCTGAAACAGCCCCTGAGCACTGCCAGATGTGAGAGAAGAACCAAGTAAATGAGGGGCTGGAGTGATGGTACAGTAGGGAGGGCGTCTGCCTTGCATGCTGCTGACCCGGGTTCGATCTCTGGCATTCCATGAGGTTCCCCCCACCAGCACTTCTGGGGGTCACTCCTGAGTGCAGAGCCAGGAGTAACCTCTGAGCATCGCCAGGTATGCCCTCCCCTCCAAAAGAACGAGCTCAATGAATGAAGACTATCTAGGATACACACACACACACACACACACACACACACACACACAGGACCTACCTACTAGGCTGTTAGAAAAATCAGAAGAGTTCAAATATGGGGTTTTCTGGAGGTGGGGCCTTAACTACTGGCTCAACAAGTATTCAGCATTATTAGAAACCCCTCTGTTACTGGGATGTGGAAATTGCCAGAATAACATACTTCTTCTCTTAAGGCAGATGTGCCCGGGGGAAGGGAGGGGGTCGTCGTTGAGGACACTTACATTGACCTGTCCCTGGCAAATGTCCCTTGCCTCCACGAGAGCGATGAGAACAAAGGCGGTGAGGGACATGTCTTTCTCCTCTTGATTCCTGATGCCACCCTAGGGCAGAAAACAGGGAACAAGGACAAAGTCACATGGGTATCCCAACATACCAATCAAGCTCCCCTAGAATCAGCAGGATCGGGGCAGGATTAGTTTCCTATCGGTGTCTTCTCAGGAGGGCCAGACTTTTCCATAGTCATCCACGTACCTGCCTGTCTGTCCATTCATTCATTGATACATCTGCACGCCCACCCAAACCCCCATTCATTCATCCACCCCCATATCCATATACCCATCCACACACCCATTCACTCATCCACCCACACATCCATCCGTCCACCCACACATCCACCCACCCATCCATCCACCCACCCATCCACCCACCCATCCACCCACCCATCCACCCACCCATCCATCCACCCACCCATCCACCCACCCATCCATCCACCCACCCATCCATCCATCCATCCATCCATCCATCCATCCAACCATCCACCCACCCACCCATCCACCCACCCACCCATCCATCCATCCACCCACCCATCCATCCATCCATCCATCCACTCACCCACCCACCCACCCACCCATCCATCCATCCATCCACCCACCCACCCACCCATCCATCCATCCACCCACCCACCCACCCACCCACCCATCCACCCACCCACCCATCCATCCATCCATCCATCCATCCACTCACCCACCCACCCATCCATCCACCCATCCATCCATCCACCCACCCATCCATCCATCCACCCACCCACCCATCCATCCATTCATCCATCCACCCACCCACCCATCCATCCATCCATCCACCCACCCACCCACCCACCCATCCATCCATCCATCCATAAACCATCCACACATCTTTCCTTCCATCCTGCAAATGGTGCTGGGGCTGAATTCTGGGCCCTAGTTCCGCCCTGATGGAGCTTGGGACACATGGGGACTCAAGCAGCATAATTACAAATTAAAGAGTGCTGTGCAGGAGGAGAGGACTGTGTGTGTGTGTGTGTGTGTGTGTGTGTGTGTGTGCGGGGGTAGGACCCACTTGGTCAGAGGGTAGAATGACACATGAAACCCCCTCCTTTGAAGAACCGTCAAGACTCAAATCTCAAAGAGGGCAGAAATCTGCCAGGTGGAGGATGGGAGAACATGTGCAAAGGCCCTGTGGCTCAGGAGAGGGGGTCTCCTGGAGGTCCAAGTGAAGTGTGGAGACAGAGGGAAGACGCTGAGGCTAGAAAAGCCTGAAAGATCACTCGAAGGCAGTGGCTTCCCGACTCCAGCCCACAGCAAGGCCTCCCTGCCCCAGCCCCTGCCTGGAATGGAATCCTGCCTCTTACAATCATTTCTTGGTGTGCCACGGGCGCATCCTCCTGGAAAACCCCATCTGGCTTCTGCTTCTCCAGGATCAGCCACTTGACAGCCCCGCACAGGACCTCGGCGTCCACGGCGATGAGGTTGGCGGCCAGCGAGAAGACCTTGACCACGTAGGCAGTCAGCCTGTGGGCGGGCACAGAGCGTGAGCCAATCGGCTCCGGGAACCAGAGACTGACATCTCAGCCAACCAATGAGTAGGAGATGGGGGCGGGGCCCGCTGCCCCTCTTTGATCCTGGGGCTGAGGGTGGGGCTTATTACCTGTGTCCTGCAGGGTCCCTGGTCTCTGCGAATGGCAGAGTCCATCTGCACTGGGCGATGTGAGTGAGATTCGTCTACACCACCCCAAGCGGGACCCCCTCTCAGTGGGTGTGTGTGTGGGGGGGGGTCAGGCTGAAGGTGACCCCAGGACTCACCAGGTGCTAGAAGGTCGGTCTTGGAAGGCAGAAAACGCTGAGTTTTTCTGTCTGTAGCTCAGCTGCTGGGTGTAGCCTGAAGGGAAGCAAGAAACGTGGCTGGAGGATGGTGACTGCGAGTTGGGGGGTGCGTTGGGGGCTCCCATGGAGGGGATCTCGTTCATAGATGTCTGAGAGATGGGCATAAGGAGGGCACAAGGATTCTTTTCTTTCTGGGTCACACCCGGCAATGCACAGGGGTTCCTCCTGGCTCTGCGCTCAGGATTACCCCTGGCGATGCTCAGGGGACCATATGGGATGCTGGGAATCGAACCCAGGTTGGCCGCTTGCAAGGCAAGTGCCCTACCCGCTGTGCTACTGCTCCAGCCCCAAGGATTCTTTTCTTTCTTTTCGTTTTGTTTTTTGGGCCACACCCGGCAATGCTCAGGGGTTAATCCTGGCTCTGCATTCAAGGGGTCACTCCTGGCGGTGCTTAGGTGAGCCTATGGGATGCCGAGGATCGAACCCGGTTCAACTGCATGCGAAGCCAGGGCCCTCCCAGCTGGACTGTCTCCCCGGCCCCGGGAGACACGGATTTTCTGTGGGATGGTGGTACAGTTAAGGGAGGGAAGAAGGGGTTCAAGTTAGGGACCGGACGTCTGGTGCAGGGAGGGGGTGTTAAAAGGGGGTAGGGCGGAGCTCACAAGGGACTCAGAAGGGGAGGAGCCTCGCTGAGGGCATAGACGTGGGAGAAGGGCGGGGCCTCGCGGAGGGCGGGGCCTCGGTGGGGCGTGGCCCCAGGGAGGGCGGAGCTCACACACAGAGGACTTCGGGAGGGCGGGGCCTCGCGGAGGGCGGGGCCTCGGTGGGGCGTGGTCCCAGGGAGGGCGGAGCTCACAAGGGACTCAGAAGGGGAGGAGCCTCGCTGAGGGCATAGACGCGGGAGAAGGGCGGGGGCTCGCGGAGGGCGGGGCCTCGGTGGGGCGTGGCCCCAGGGAGGGCGGAGCTCACAAGGGACTCAGAAGGGGAGGAGCCTCGCTGAGGGCATAGACGTGGGAGAAGGGCGGGGCCTCGCGGAGGGCGGGGCCTCGGTGGGGCGTGGCCCCAGGGAGGGCGGAGCTCACAAGGGACTCAGAAGGGGAGGAGCCTCGCTGGGGGCATGGCCGAGGGAGGCGGGCCCTCGTGGGGGCGGGGCCTCGGTGGGGCGTGGTCCCAGGGAGGGCGGAGCTCACAAGGGACTCAGAAGGGGAGGAGCCTCGCTGAGGGCATAGACGCGGGAGAAGGGCGGGGGCTCGCGGTGGGCGGGGCCTCGGTGGGGCGTGGTCCCAGGGAGGGCGGAGCTCACAAGGGACTCAGAAGGGGAGGAGCCTCGCTGGGGGCGTGGCCGAGGGAGGCGGGGCCTCGTGGGGGCGGGGCCTCGGTGGGGCGTGGTCCCAGGGAGGGCGGAGCTCACAAGGGACTCAGAAGGGGAGGAGCCTCGCTAGGGGCAAGGCTGGGGGAGGGCGGGGCCTCGGTGGGCGTGGTCTCAGGGAGGGCGGAGCTCATGCACAGAACTCAGACGGGGCGGGGCCTCAGTGGGGTGTGGCCTGGGTGGGGCGGGGTCTCAGGGAGGGTGGCATTCACACTGGGGGCTCAGAGAGGGAAGAGGCTCGGTGGGGCGGGGGTCTTAGATCTAAGGCAAGAGGCTCAGAGAGACAACAGGTGGGCGCGCGTGGTGCGGGCAGGTGGGTCTCCCCAAAGGGACGCACCTTTCTTGATGAGTGCTAAGCTTTGCTCCCGCTTCTCCAGACTGTACTTGGCCCACTGCTCGGTGCTGTCCAGATAATACACGGCAATGACGGTGGGCGTCATGGTGATCATGTTCTGCTCCCCGCAGCCCGAGGGGGTGATGATGAGGTGATTCAGCCGGTCCCCGTCGATAGCATCCTCCGTCATCTGGGCCACGGGGTTCCCTGCGGCCGACCGGGTGGACGCACTCAACCACAGCCCCCTCCCCACTCGATCAACGGGTGGGGTGGGGGCGGGAAGGAGGTTCGGGACTGCCCTCACGGCTCCCACGTTGGGTCGTGACACCCCCTCGGGTCAAGGACAAGGGCACCCCACCTTGTAGAAGGATCCTGGTCTCTTGCTCTGTATCTGGGACTTGATCGCTGAGATCTAAGGCGTGGATGTCCTCTCTCTGCACGCCATCTACCGGTCAAATGGGAGACACATAGTGGTACCTGCCCTTTCCAGCCCTAGGCCCCATCTCTCCCAGGTCCCCTGTGGGGGAGAGGAGCTGGACTCACTTTGGCCCAGGACTTCCGGATTCAGCGTATGCACGGCCACGGTTTTGTTGACTATGATTCCTTCCGGCTGCACAAGGGTGGGGGAGGTCGCGCGTGAACACACACACACACACACACACACACACACACATGAGGCTTGTCAGCAGTGTCCTGCTGCACTGGGGGCTTTCGCGGCCTGGATGTGAAAGCCTCTGTCCTGTCCTGGCTGTGTGGTTGGGAAGTTCTCATTTGATCTCCCAACCCTCAGCTTCCTGAGTGGGAAATACCTACATCTAATTCCCTAGATGTTGCATGAATTAATAGCACTTAGAAACGGATGATAGGGATGGAGAGAAAGTTCAGCAGGTTTGAGTGCACAATTTGTGTGTGGGAGACTTGAGTCTGCATGGTTCCCAGACACTGCTGGAATGACCCCTTTGCCACTTACCCACAACCCCACCCCCCTCCAGAGCCCCCTACAGCAGGCTGGGAGTAACCTCAAAACATGGTTGGATGTGGCTCAAAGACTGAGAACAAGAGCCACTCAAATCAGAGCTACACCCGAAAGTGCTCAGGGCAGACCACTGGCTCTGTCTTCTCAGGGATCACTCCTGGCAGACTCGAGGAACGATATGGGCTGCCAGGGATGGAACCCAGGTTGGCCACGTGCAAGAAAGGTGCGTCCTCCTCTCTCTACTATCACTCCAGCCCTATATCCCAACGTTTTAGTTTCTAATGAGCTTTGGGGCTACTCCCTAAAATCCCATGCCCAGAGAAGTGGCCCCTGGTTCACTGAAGTCCAGACTTGTCCCTGCTTCTGAACGCCCAGCTCTCCGCGATTCTCTAAGTGGGTACAGTTCTTGGAACCCCACAGATGGGACCTCTGATCAGGATGCTGACTTAGGGTGCAGAGGGACGTGGAGTGCCGATAGGGGACCCGAAGGACTCACCACGACCTTCAGGGTCTTCCTGACACCGTCAGCAATGAAGCGGTTGAAGACAGCAGCTTTGACCTCCACCTCCTGGAGGCCAACCTGCAGCGGCACGATGACAAAAGGCACGGCCACCGAGGATGCGGGCGGGATGACCATGACCTGTTGGTGGCGCTTCTTGGAGGTGGCCAGACTGCAGAAGGCTGGATTGTAGAGCAGCTCCACTCTTACCTGCAGAAACGGGGCGGAGATAATGTCCAGCCAAGGGGCCCCGCCCCTTGCCTGAGTCGCTCCCCTCTCTCCAAGCCCCGCCTCTCCTCCTAAGCCCCGCCCCACCCCCAAGCCCCGCCTCTCCTCCTAAGCCCCGCCCCACCTCCTAAGCCCCCGCCTCTCCTCCTAAGCCCCAAGCCTTGCCTGAGTCGCTCCCCTCTCTCCAAGCCCCGCCTCTCCTCCTAAGCCCCGCCCCACCTCCTAAGCCCCGCCCCACCTCCTAAGCCCCGCCTCTCCTCCTAAGCCCCACCTCTCCTCCTAAGCCCCCGCCTCTCTTCCTAAGCCCTGCCCCACCTTCTAAGCCCCGCCTCCCCTAAGCCCCGCCCTCCTCCTAAACCCCGCCCTCCAATCAAGCCACGCCCTCCAATCAAGCCACGCCCCTATCCAAAGGCCCCGCCCCTCCCTATGTGCACATGCATATTCCCTCCCTCCAACCCCCTCTCTCCTTCTAAGCCCCCGCCCTCCTCCTAAATCCCGCCCACACCCAAGCCCCGCCCCTCCAATTAAGCCACGCCCTCCAATCAAGCCACGCCCCTATCCAAAGGCCCCGCCCCTCCCTATGTGCACATGCATATTCCCCTCCCTCCAACCCCCTCTCTCCTTTTAAGCCCCCCTTCGTTCAAGGCCCCGCCCCTACCCAAGCCCCGCCCCTGCTTCTATCCTCTCCCCTCTGCGACCCACCTTGAGTGGGTCCGAGGGCTGGTAGTTGTAAAGAACAGCTCGGATTTCCACCTGCTCGTTGCGCACCACCGAGTAGGGGAGCCGTAGGTCGATGAAGAAGTCCTGCATCACGGTGACCTCAAAGGGGTCGGCCACACAGATCCCTGTCGGGTGCAAATCCAATCAGGGGTCGGTGGCCGATAGGATGGACGGGTGGGGACAGAATTCATTCAAGAGTGTGTGTGTGTGTGTGTGTGTGTGTGTGTGTGTGTGTGTGTGTGAAGGGGGAGGTCCCAGATCCTACCACTCCGAGGTTCTTGGCATTTGTCAACCCTGGCAATAGTTCCAGTCCAGCCCTCTTCTTTTTTTTCCCCCCCTTTTTGGGTCACACCCGGCCATGCACAGGGGTTACTCCTGGCTCATGCACTCAGGAGCTACTCCTGGCAGTGCTCAGGGGACCCTATGGGATGCTGGGAATCGAACCCGGGTCGGCCGCGTGCAAGGCGAACGCCCTACCCGCTGTGCTATTGCTCCAGCCCCTTCTTCTTCTTCTTCTTCTTCTTTTTTTTTCCCCCTTTTTGGGTTCCTCCTGGCTCTGCACTTAGGAATCACTCCTGGCGGTGCTCAGGGGACCACATGGGATGCTGGGAATCGAACCCGGGTCGGCCACCTGCAGGGCAAACGCTGAACTATCTAGTCCACGTCCAGCCTTCTTTGCAGAAGTTCTACCTAAACCATCTACCTAAGGTACGCAATGAAAAGCCACATCTGGGGCTCCACGCACACCCCAAAATCCGGGGCGCTGCCGGGGCAGGAGCATAGCCCTCGGTAAGCACCATAGCGCCACCTGGCGAGTGATCGTGGCAGTGAGTAGCAGCCCTGGCACTTTCCCAAATGGTCACCCCAGACCCCCAAGGGGTCACCCTGCCTTTGAAATGCACCCGCGCGCATTTCAAAGCGGGATTTGCATTTCTACTTGGTTTTTTTTTTGTTTTTTTTTTTGCTTTTTTGGGGGTCACACCCGGCGATGCACAGGGGTTACTCCTGGCTCTGCACTCAGGAGTTACCCCTGGCGGTGCTCAGGGGACCCTATGGGATGCTGGGAATCGAACCCGGGTGGGCCGCGTGCAAGGCAGACGCCCTCCCCGCTGTGCTATCGCTCCAGCCCATAATATAGTTGAACTACAGGCATAATTTTTTTTTTTTGCGAGGGTCATACATAGAATGCTTAAAAAAAAGTTTTTAATAGATGTGGAGCCAGAGTGATATTACAGGTAAAGGTAAAGGTAAAGGCCCTCCCGTTGATCATCGATTTGCTCGAGCGGGCCCAGTAACGTCTCCATTGGAGACTTTGTTGTTACTGTGTCTGGCATATCGAATACTCTCGGTAGCTTGCCGGGCTCTCCGAGAGGGGCGGGGGAATCAAACTCCGGTCGGCCATGTAGGCCGCGTACAAGGCAAACGCCCTACCCGCTGTGATATTACAGTGCGGACGGTAATTGCCTTGTGTGTGTCGAACCCGGTTCAGTCCCCAGAACCCCATTTGGTCCCCCAGCAGTGGCAGGAGTGATCCTTGAACACAGAGCCACGAGTAAGCGATGAGCAACCCTGGGTGTGACCCACTTCCCAAATGGGCTGGAGATGTCGCTCATTTGCCTTGCATGTGTGAGGTCCTGGGTTCAAGCCCCAGCAACACACACACACACACACACACACACACACACAAACACGATTTAATATTCAAAGGGCTAGGGAGAGCCCCTGAGGAGCACCACAGGGTGTGGCCGCCAAATAAAAAGTTAAAAAAAAATATCAGTGGCACCAGGAAGTGCAGTGGGGAAGGCATTTGCTAAGCCTAGGGCTGACCCAGGTTTAATCCCCAGCACCCCACAGGGTCCCCAAGCCCCATCAGAAGTGATCCCTGAGCACTGGTGTGTGCCCCCTACCTCCCAAAAAAGAGCAGTTGACTGTGTGACCTACTGTCTACACCTCCGGCTACCTCTCCAGTCACAGGGGGGCAAGGTACACGCCACCATGAAATGCCACAGTGCTAGGATGGATGTGCAAAGTCCCTGGGGTGGGCCGGGGAGGGAGTTGTGGGCATCTTGTCTCCTGATGACCCGGACACGTTTCTCTCACCTTTCGTTTGTGACAGACTCACGGCCAGTATCTCCCAGGTGGTGATGGAATCTTTCAAAAATATGTTCATAAGCTTAGTGGAGATTCTGGATGGGAAGGAAGGGGGGCATTAGAAGGCATTAGGGGGGCGTATCGGGGGCGGGCATGGGAGTAAAGGAGAGTTCCAGGGGACAGAGGGAGGAACCAGTAGGTGGTCCGATCTCTGCTTTGTCTACGTGGGGCTATGATTTTCCTGAAGCAAAGATCCTCGGGGGTCCATGCAAAAGAAATGAGCCAATCTGAGAGACTGAGGTGCAAGCCAAATAAAATGGGGGTTGGGGGTCAAGGTATATACAAAATAAATGATCCAGTTTGGGGCTTGGGCAAAATGAACCTTTCTTGGAACGGGGGCTGAGGGATAGAAACACACTCAAATTCGTATCCATTAAATTGTATGTACCGTCAAACACACTGTCCTCCCGTTGGTCATCGATTTGCTCGAGCGGGGAACCAGTAACGTCTCCGGTGTGAGACTTGTTGTTACTGTGTTTGGCATATGGGTGAGGTACTCTCGGTAGCTTGCCGGGCTCTCTGAGGGGGGGGGGGGTGGAGGAATCGAACCCGGCTCGGCCGGGCTGGCTGCGCGCAAGGCAAACGCCCTACCGCTGTGCTATCGCTCCAGCCCATTGTATGTACAGTACAAATGAAATGATTCAGTGTGTGTGTGGGGGGGGGGGGGTGGGGGCGAGGTTGGGATGCACGCCAAGGAGCTGATCCAATCTGGGGGAATTCTGGGCTGGTTTTAACTGGGGCGGTGAGAGGAAGTGGCTTGCAGGACGGTTGACGTGGGGGTGTCCGGGGACTTACCCATTTTTCTCTGGTGGTTTCAACTCCTCAATGACCCACAGCCAACTCTCCGGGAACTGGCTTCGAGAAGTGATATCCTCTTCCGGGATTATGTCTTCGTCGAGGTCGCCTGGGAAAGAGAAGCCCATTGGTCTAGAGAGCCCCTTTTCCCGCCCCCTTCCCTGAGTCTCCTGGCCCCGCGCCTGGCTGTCCTTTAGCCTCCTCCTCAGAGATGGCCTCCTCCCTCAGACACAGTCTCCTCCTATAGCCTCCTCCCTCAGACACGTCCCCGTCCTTTAGCCTCCTCCCTCAGGCAGGGCCTCCTCCTTCAGACAGGGCCTCAGGCACAGCCTCCTCCCTCAGACACGGCCTTCTCCTTCAGACACAGCCTGGTCCTTTAGCTTCCTCCTCAGAGATGGCCTCCTCCCTCAGACACAGTCTCCTTCTTTAACCTCCTCCTTCAGACAGGACCTCAGACACAGCTTCCTCCCTCAGACACGGCCCTGTCCTTTAGCCTCTGCCCTCAGACAGGGCCTCGTCCTTTAGCCTCCTCCCTCAGGCACAGCCTCCTCCCTCAGACGGGGCCTCAGGCACTGCCTCCTCCCTCAGACCAGGCCTCAGGCACAGCCTCCTCCCTCAGACGGGGCCTCAGACACAGCCTCCTCCCTCAGACGGGGCCTCAGGCACAGCCTCCTCCCTCAGACACGGCCCGTCCTTTAGCCTCCTCCCTCAGACGGGGCCTCAGACACCGCCTCCTCCCTCAGACGGGGCCTCAGGCACAGCCTCCTCCCTCAGACAACGGCCCGTCCTTTAGCCTCCTCCCTCAGACAGGGCCTCAGACACAGCCTCCTCCCTCAGATGGGGCCTCAGGCACAGCCTCCTCCCTCAGACACGGCCCGTCCTTTAGCCTCCTCCCTCAGACGGGGCCTCAGGCACCGCCTCCTCCCTCAGACGGGGCCTCAGGCACAGCCCTCCCTCCTTCAGACACGGCCCGTCCTTCAGCCTCCTCCCTCAGACGGGGCCTCAGGCACAGCCTCCTCCCTCAGACGGGCCTCAGGCACAGCCTCCTCCCTCAGACGGGGCCTCAGGCACAGCCTCCTCCCTCAGACGGGGCCTCAGGCACAGCCTCCTCCCTCAGACGGGGCCTCAGGCACAGCCTCCTCCCTCAGACGGGGCCCTCAGGCACAGCCTCCTCCCTCAGACACGCCCCGTCCTTCAGCCTCCTCCCTCAGACGGGGCCTCAGGCACCGCCTCCTCCCCTCAGACGGGGCCTCAGGCACAGCCTCCTCCCTCGGACACGGCCCGTCCTTCAGCCTCCTCCCTCAGACGGGGCCTCAGGCACCGCCTCCTCCCTCAGACGGGGCCTCAGGCACCGCCTCCTCCCTCAGACACAGCGCGTCCTTTAGCCTCCTCCCTCAGACGGGGCCTCAGGCACCGCCTCCTCCCTCAGACGGGGGCCTCAGACACTGCCTCTCCTCCCTCAGACGGGGCCTCAGGCACCGCCTCCTCCCCCTCAGACGGGGCCTCAGGCACAGCCTCCTCCCTCGGACACGGCCCGTCCTTCAGCCTCCTCCCTCAGACGGGGCTCAGGCACCGCCTCCTCCCTCAGACCGGGGCCTCAGGCACCGCCTCCTCCCTCAGACACAGCGCGTCCTTTAGCCTCCTCCCTCAGACGGGGCCTCAGGCACCGCCTCCTCCCTCAGACGGGGCTCAGGCACAGCCTCCTCCCTCAGACGGGGCCTCAGACACAGCCTCCTCCCTCAGACGGGGCCTCAGGCACAGCCTCCTCCCTCAGACGGGGCCTCAGGCACAGCCTCCTCCCTCAGACGGGGCCTCAGGCACAGCCTCCTCCCTCAGACGGGGCCTCAGGCACAGCTCCTCCCTCAGACGGGGCCTCAGCACAGCCTCCTCCCTCAGACGGGGCCTCAGGCACAGCCTCCTCCCTCAGACGGGGCCTCAGGCACAGCCTCCTCCCCTCAGACGGGGCCTCAGGCACAGCCTCCTCCCTCAGACGGGGCCTCAGACACAGCCTCCTCCCTCAGACGGGGCCTCAGGCACAGCCTCCTCCCTCAGACGGGGCCTCAGGCACAGCCTCCTCCCTCAGACGGGGCCTCAGGCACAGCCTCCTCCCTCAGACGGGGCCTCAGGCACAGCCTCCTCCCTCAGACGGGCCTCAGGCACAGCCTCCTCCCTCAGACGGGGCCTCAGGCACAGCCTCCTCCCTCAGACGGGGCCTCAGGCACAGCCTCCTCCCTCAGAAGGGGCCCTCAGGCACAGCCTCCTCCCTCAGACGGGGCCTCAGGCACAGCCTCCTCCCTCAGAAGGGGCCCTCAGGCACAGCCTCCCTCCCTCAGACGGGGCCTCAGGCACAGCCTCCTCCCTCAGACGGGGCCTCAGACACAGCCTCCTCCCTCAGACGGGGCCTCAGGCACAGCCTCCTCCCTCAGACGGGGCCTCAGGCACAGCCTCCTCCCTCAGACGGGGCTCAGGCACAGCCTCCTCCCTCAGACGGGGCCTCAGGCACAGCCTCCTCCCTCAGACGGGGCCTCAGGCACAGCCTCCTCCCTCAGACGGGGGCCTCAGACACAGCCTCCTCCCTCAGACGGGGGCCTCAGGCACAGCCTCCTCCCTCAGAAGGGGCCTCAGGCACAGCCTCCTCCCTCAGACGGGGCCTCAGGCACCGCCTCCTCCCTCAGACACGGCCCGTCCTTTAGCCTCCTCCCTCAGACGGGGCCTCAGGCACCGCCTCCTCCCTCAGACACGGCCCGTCCTTTAGCCTCCTCCCTCAGACGGGGCCTCAGGCACCGCCTCCTCCCTCAGACACGGCCCGTCCTTTAGCCTCCTCCCTCAGACGGGGCCTCAGGCACAGCCTCCTCCCTCAGACAGGGCCTCAGACACAGCCTCCTCCCTCAGACACGCCCCGTCCTTCAGCCTCCTCCCTCGTTCACAGCCTCCTCCCTCAGCCTCCTCCCTCGGACACGCCCCCGTCCCTCAGCCTCCTCCCTCAGACACGGCCTCCCTCCTCCCTCGGCCTCCTCCCTCGGACCGGCTCTCCCCCCCCCCCCCCCGCCCGCCCCGCGCACGCGCAGACTCACTGCGGGCCAGGCCGAGGGGCCGCTGGCGCGCCTGCTCCCGGCGCAGGCGGGCGATGTAGGCGCAGCAGTCGAGGAAGGCGGCGACGCAGGGGCGGCCCTGCAGGATGTACCTGGCGCGCTGCTCGCAGGTGTGCGGCATGGGGATCCTCCGCATGCCGTGCTCGCAGCAGCGCCGCAGCTCCTTGTCCTTGTACTGGCCGGCTGCGGACACGCACCTGCGCTCAGGGCTCAGGCCCGGCGGGGGGCGGGGACGGGGGCGCGGGGGGCGGGGGGCGGCACCCACCTTTGTCCGTCCTCTTCTCCATGAGCTGCACGGAGGAGCGCCGCTGGCGGGCGGCCACTTGGGGGCACTCGGGGTCTGGGGGGCGGGGAGGACGAGGCTCAGCCGGGGTCCGAGGAGCACCCGGCGGGGCGGCTGGGAGCGGGCGGCGGCACCCCGGGGCCCCTCACCTGTCCGGTGCTTCGTCTGCAGGTCCTTGTCGGTCTTCAGGGACAGCCCCGCGTCCTCGAAGACCCCCGCGTAGTCCTGGCCGCTGCCCGGGGTGCAGCCGATGTCCGCCTTCTCCACGATGTTCCAGAGCTGCGGGGCGCAGGGGGCTGCAGCCGTGACCAGGCCCCCACCCCCCACTGGCCAGTCCATCCGCCCACCCACCCACACTCCCCTCCCTCGCCGTCTTGGGAGCGTCCCCAGCTCGGGCCCTTGACCTCACACAGTTCCATCTTCTGGGGAGGGCGCGGGGGGCGCACACTTGGCCATGCCCAGGGCTG